CTCATGACCAGGCCACCCCCTCTGCAGATTCCAGTGCAAGTACTTTTGAAAGCCTCCAAATGATCCCAGAATGTAGCACATCTCAAGCTGTGTCTCAGGACCACAGGTGCATGGAATGAGTTCCAAACCCTCCTGTTTTCTTGACAGTGAACAGAGCTGAAGGAGGGTGTAGTTCCTGTTCCTTTCCTGCCTCACTTCCTGGCCTCAAGTGATCCGCCTGCCTGGGCCTCCCAAAGTGCTGGGATCACAGCTGTGAGCCACCATGCCCAACCGGGATTTTTATTTAGATCCTTGCAGAGTTGTGTCCATCTCCTCTAGGCCAGGCCAGCAGCCTGACCTTTTGGGACATCTAAACGCACAGTGATGGAACTAAGGTGTGTTTTCCCAGCACACAAAGACTACACCTGGATCACATCTACAATACAGGGCTCACCAGGCACTCTAAGGAACTGAGTATGTCGAGTATGTAATCAGGACCAAGTATCCAGGCAAACTCAACATGGCAGCATTCATACAGCCATTTGCTGGATATCTGCCCAGCTGTGTTATTCATGAACCCAGAGCAGCAAAAAATTCAGACATATTAGTGAAGGCAAACAAAAAATATATATATTTACATGCATCTATGGGGACTCAGTTGTAGCACAATAAATATTTGCTAAATGAAGACAATTTTGTTTCCTCTACATTAATAGGCTTAGCTATGCAATATACAGTCTGTGTGGAGGCAGTTTGTGTGCATGTATTTCTTAATCGTAAACTATTTCTAAGTCCTTCCTTACTGAAAACAGATGGGGGCATAAATATAAAAATGAAAAAAATGAAAAAAACATAAAAATGAATAATAAATAATTTTCAAACAGCCGAAACACATTCATGTCCGTAACCCCAAACCACTCTCCCCCAAACTCCTGAGATCATCTGCGGCGAGCGTGCTTTGAAAACAAAGACTTTCAGGGAATTTACTCCCTCAAACTGCCTGACCAGTAATCTTGTATGGTCCCCCAATATATCCTCTTAGCAGGCCTCAGTTTTCATTTCAGCGCACACTGTCACTTGGCTAGTGAGCCTACCAAAGCACACCTGTAGGTTTACTAGAATCTTCTCCCTCGAATGCAGCTACTTCTGCAGGGCTTAAGGAACCATCACCCATTCATAGCTCAGTGGCAAGAGCACAAACACTCCTGAAAAGCAGGGGAGTTAGGAGGGAGGAAAGGTATCATTTTCAAGCCCAAAGTTATTAGCTGTGGAGAGTGGGAGCTAAAACATGGCTTTGAAAATGGAGCTCAGAAAATGTTTATCTCAAAAATTTTGGTGAAACCTGGCCCTTATCCAGAAAGAGAGAGGAAATTCTTGCATTAGCCCTTCCTTGTTCTAGGACTCAGAACTCTGGCTGAGTTCTCTGGCTAATTATGAGACAGTTAGGTATAGTAACATTATTTCTACAAGGAAACAAAATTCCACTCAATTAAATACTTTTTTGAACACTGGCCACGCTAGACTGGAGGAACTAATTAGTTTTAGACTTGTTCACCTAGAGTTGTTCTAGGAATCTGGGCAGCAATCAGTAATGACAATGTGTTATGGGTAGGGTTCCCCACCACTAACCTCAGCCCCACCCCAAATTCCAGGTGGATTCAGGGTTTCCTAACTTAGCACGAAGCACTCTGCCTCATATCATGTGCCCCACCCGCAGGGTGACTTGCCACCTCCGACCACTGTTTGTGTTATTAAATCTGGTTGAGCTTTTTGGCATCAACCAGAGGTGCCCAGGTCCTTTGATAAACAGCTCACAGAGCTGAGGATTGAGGGGCACTGCCCTCAGGGCTTCCTGGAGTCCCCTGCAGCTGGTGAGGATGTGAAGACCCAGGATCAAGCCTCACTTCTGCTGGAGAAGAGGTCTGGGCTCTGTGCCAGGGGTTCTCTCTAATAAGAATGCTCAGGTGACCTCTAGAGTCCCTCCCAGCTCTAAACTGTAGAAAGGCTCCAATTCTATAAGCATTTCTGAGGATTACAAGTTTGGCTAAGAACTCCTGTAGTATATTCTTCCCAAACTTAAAACAAAAAAATGCAATCAAAGTGATTTTTTAAAATGGGGTGAAAATATGGCCAGTAGATTATTCTGGGACTTCAGGGTATTTTAATATAAAATAATTTAGCTTTTTCCTTAGCAAATAAAGGTATTGTCAATTCTTGTTTCAAAAATATGAAAACATGGTCTTTGAAATTTCCACGTTTCTAACAAAGCACAGAAATCTTCTCATGGTTTTCTAAATCATGAGATGATGCCTTTATATTCCCAAATCACAAAACCATGAGGAAAGACTCTTTCAAAACTTAAACTGTCACCTTACAAGAGGGGTGCTCAGAAAGGATGGGACTCGTAAGGAGTGTTCAGGTCACAGAAGGCCTGGACCCTGAAAAACAGGGTTCTCCCTCTCACCACACACACCCAGGTTCTAAAGTCAAACTCCTATGTAATCATTACAGGCTACTAAGCAGATATCAGATCCTTATCCCAAACGTTAGCATTAAGAAAACTCATGTTTCTCATGGGACAGGGAGGTGACTCACTAGACTTCAATGTTCTAATGGCAACATAAAACCGCACCGTTAATAGAATGCAGCCTAAGCAAACACCCCTTGACCTCTTTCTGGAAAACACCAGCAGACACAAGTCCTAAGAACTTCCTGTGACGGACAGTTTATGTGTGTTAGTGCTACTTAATAAATGAATAATTTTTAAAGTATTTCGTAAAAAGTCAGCAAGGTTCTCTATTCTCCCTTCTGACCTTAACAAATGTGAGTCAGCCTGTATGTGTATACACTCTATAATATTAAAATGTTGATTTCAAAAGCAAACTGCCTCCTTTGGTAGCACCTGACTCTTCCATTCATATTCAAACCACATCTTCCCATTAGTCCCTGAGAACTCTGAACAAGCACACTTTTACTAACAGATCCAAAAGCAAAAAGCAGAGTGTGATAACATTTTTAAAGATAATAAACATTTGTATAACCCTAAAACTAAAATCAGATTATGAGCCACAGATTTTAGAAACTAATTTTTGTCTCACTGATTTTACGCTTGTTTTCATAAAAATATCCATCCTTAATTTTAAAAAAATAATCTTGAAAATACGTGTTTACTGCTTACTATTTTTAAAGGAAAGCTTCCACAGGTAGAGTTACACTGTCCTCAAGTCAATTGATTTTGTTTCCTTAATGCAGATTTCTGGGACTTACATTAAGCTTATACAACTTGTTCTAAGTTATATCTTGTAACAAGAGAGAAAACTCTGGATTAAAAAAGTTCAGACAATTTATATTTTCCCCATGTATTTCAAGCTTACAAAAATTTGTTGTTTATGATCACAGAGGAAAGCACCTGCAGCCACCCTCTATAATATATCCAAATACAACGTCAGCTTCAAGATATTAGTTTACCATTCCAATAATTATGGCTAGGCCAACAAAAACTGTAACACTTTTATACGATTTTTACTACTACACTTAAATGCAAAGAGCATGTGAAACCAAATATACTATTTTTGAAACGTAATTTTTAAAAATTCTCAGTTTAAAACAGCAACTTCATTCCCTAGGAAAAAAAGTCTTTTGTTAAATAACAACAAATAGAGACAGTAGAAAGACGGTACAGTGAATGAAGCAGGGTAGGTAGCCAAAGACTTCTGTTCAACATAGCACTTAGAAGTTAATAAAATTCACCACAACATTTTCCTAAGAAAGGACATTAATTAGCCTTTTTGTTTTGTGGGTGCCGTCCCCTCTCCTCTCAGTAGTGTCCAGATTGAGCAAGCAGGGAAGGGAAGAGGCACATTGGGAAATGTAACTCACCAGGATACCAGGAGGGGACTTGTCATGGTAAACATCCTGAGTTTTACTTAATGAGCCTTCACAAACCTCCTCATCTTCCTTATCATCTTCTAAGTAAAACATCTTGAAAATCAACTAGCATGTCTTTTTTCAGAGATGAAGGTGTATAATCAAAACAGAAAGCTGCTCTCTTGATAAACTGAGTACAAACCACTTGCAGACACAGTTATATGGCTAAAACAGAAAGGAAATGGTTCTAACAAAAAAAAAAGCAATGCATACACAAGTTTACCAATGAGATTTGCTCAAAATGCCTCAACCCCTTCTCCCCGAAGGAGATAAGCAGGGGCATGGGACAGGTTGTGCCATGTGTTTACACTGATAGGCACCAAGACCTGCCCAATCACATGATGGCCACTGCAGCTTCCATCACACAGGACAGGGATTGAGTTAATGATTCTCTAAACCAATCACATCCTCATTTTTTAGAAATTAAAACAGCTACTATACATATGGAGACTGATCTTATGTAAGCGAATCATGTAAGGGAAGTCATTTACATACATTTTCCCAGCAGCAGGGAGCTTCCCAAAGTCAGCCAGATGACATGCTTCAAAGAGCCCAACTAATGAACACTTTGACTTTGTCAGACTGGCATGACCCAAGACATTCTCACAATTCTGGGAGGCATCCTGCTCAGCACTGGATATAACAAGCAGAATTTACTTCATTTCAAGAATATGATAATGCAACATTGTAAAATTCAAACATTCCCGGTATTTCTTTGGCAGCTCTCAATAAGTCAACACATAGTAATTTCAACTGAATTTTTCTAAAAACCGAAAGCACACTTAACTCACATGGACAAACATACTAGATTTCTGAATTAAGATATACTGTTTTTTTCATAACATTGTCTAGGATTGTGCTGTTCATCACAAACAGCCGTTAGCCACATGTGGCTACTGAGCACTGGCAATCAGGCCAGCACCAACTGCAGTGTGCTCCAAGTGTAATGTACACACTGGATTTCCAAGACTAAGACTGAAAAGAGAATAAAATAATCTCATAATTTCTAATATATACTACATATTTAAAGGATATTTTGGATATATTGAGTTAAATAAGGTATTACATTTACTTTTACCTAGTTTTTTCTTTTTCCACTTTTTAAAATGTGATTACTAGAAAATTTCAAATTACACATGTGGCTCACATTATATTTCTATTGGACAATGCTGCTCTAAAACCCTGAGAAAATCTTGAGAACAAGGTGGGGAAAAGGACATTCAGGCAAGTTACAGGTAAGGAAGAACTGAGGACAACTGGACTGTTCATCATTCCTTTAAAGTATTTAATTCATCAACAATACACTAGCTGATCCACATCCATTTAATGATCTTCACATTAAACCTTTTTCTCTGCATCTCAACTTCACAAAAGACAAAATTTTCAAATATCTGACCAAGCAATAGGTGTTTGGTGATGTTTAATACAGTAACACACCACAAAGGTTCATATAATAAAAATGTTAAGTGGCCGAATTAAAAACCTATTTCATCAAAATTAGAAATGGCAAAACTTATCTTGCACGCAGCATGTTTTCCTGCTTGCCTTCTAGCCCAGCTGATAGTAACGTGGCCTGCAGTACACCAAAGTGCCCAGTCACTTGCAATCTAATTCAATACACATCAGGTACACAAACTCCTACTTTCAGAAAAGAATGGTTTCGGTTTTTATGGTCTAAATTTTACGCAATGAATAAAATTTAAATCTCTTCATCCATAAACTACTGCAGCTCAGGATCCTTGGCATCAGATGGTAGTGATAAAAACCGGGTATTGGGGTGCTGCCAGTGGAGAAAAGTGGAAAAAGTCAGAGGTCAGCAATAAGGGGAGGCTAGCAGGAGAAAGAGAGATTAAAGAGAAACCTAAGAAGGTGAAAAAAAGAAAAGTTAGAGGGGCAGAGGAAATAAAATGTAGAAGAGATGAGAAAACATTCAACTGGATAGTAGAAGGGGAAAGCCGTGAGGAGGGTGGAAAGAAGAAAGACAAAAGTCATATCCATTTTAAATGTGAGTAAACTAAGGTCCACAAAGAGGTCAGGAAATTAGCCCAATGTCACCCAATTGGTCAACAAAGGTGCCAGGACAAGAAGCCTCCCAGTTTCTGAGTCAGTGCCTTTTTGTGTTATGCCAAGCAGAGACCAAGAGAGAACATGCTGGGGATCGGCAGGAGGAGGCTGACAAAAGGCAGGACCAAAGGCTTAGCAAGTGAGGCGTGGTGGAGATCCAGCAGGAGAGGTCAGTGGGTAGAATTCTGTTCAGCAACTCTTGCCTACAACACAACTTACACAACAAGCGGGGTGCCGAGGCCAGTCATTTGGGGTTTCCTGCTAGTGTTTGTATTGTTTCCTTGTTTTAGCTGATGACTACCAGAATGTCCTGACTGCAAGGAACATGTACTATGGACCCATCAGAAGTGAGCTCATTTTCTAAACATCTGTGTTGCCAACAGGCACACACCTACAGTTTCCTCCTATGGCCACCTGTGGATCACCCTGACCTTAAAGGCTGGTAGCCAAAGTTCTGCTTCCAGCCCCCTATCTGTAAGGTGACATTTTTCAGTCTTGATGGATAAATGTTAAAATCACAACCAAGATTTTCAAAGGAAAATGTTACTGTATTGTCAAACTTTTTCTCTACAGGCTAAAATAAGAATAAATGAATACTGAGAAAAGCTACTTTTTACTTTTGCATAATATCTTCAATGATCTTTTTTTAAAAGTGTATAGAATTTGGAAGTCTTTTTCCCAAGACTTAACTCTTTAAAAAAAAAAAAGTCTAACTTAGGGAAACAAAGCTAAAATGCTAGTTAGGAAAAACAGAATCTTGTTCAGATTCCACAACTTACAACGATGCTAAATACACACCTTCTTTGTTTTTGTTTTTTCTACTACTGATCCCATAAGTATTGGTATACAGGTCTTTTTTAAGAGGATATAACGATTTATTTAAAACTTTCTAGCTAGAATTTGCTTATCTGAAGCTGTACTAAGCTGGTTCAAGAGAAATACCTTTACACCACAAGTATGTTATTTTACCACAAAACATGAAAATAACTGTACTCCCCCCAGTGGCCACACTGTGGCCACACAACACCTTGCTCCTGGATTACCAATGAAGATGTGACAAAACTAAGTTCTGATTATTTAAAAATCATGAAAAGATTTTATAACCTCATTACAAAGAATTTCATAACACCCACCAGAATTCTTCTATAGTGAAGAACTTAGGTGCATTTCTGCATTTTCAAGGCCCCTCATGACAAAGGGAACATGTAAAAGACCATGGCTCACCTGAAACAAATGTTTTCATTTAGAGCCAAATGGCTCTCACCATCTACACTAAAGCACATGAAGTGTTTCTTCTCCTAAATGGAATCACTTATAACTCACTGTTTATGAAAACAACCCCAAAGGGACTGACTTTTTATTCAAAACCAAGATAAAAGTCCTCTTGCTACCATTCTTGGGTTTCTCAAACATTTGTAGTTTAACTGCTCATTGGGCAATGGTTATATAGTGTACTCAAGTTCCAGTGTTTCATAATATCCTCATATAATCTCAAAATTCTGAACAAGACAGCTAGTGGCTGGCAATTTCACTGACCTGCGAGGGAATAACCAAATGCAAACAGATCTTCCTGCAGGAACAGCAGAGGAAAAACAAGGGAGGGTCTCCTGAGGTCAGAGGCCCAGCTTAACGTGACTCTCGCAAAGATAAACTGCTTTGAAGACTTCTCATTTATCTTTAAAATTCACACATTTCGTAGTCTATTCTGATAAGTCTATTTTTTTTAATGAGGAAAAAAAAAAAAGACTAACTGGCCAAAGCTTTCTTCTACCAAGTTCAAAGCTTAATGCAACACGTTTACTGTAAGAATCAGAATATGTTCGGTGTACACATCGCAGTTTAAGGAGCTTAGGACCAAACAAACTCTGTGGTCTAACCCTTCCAACACAAATGTTCAAGGTCAAGCTTTTACCCACTATTTGGAGACGAGAGAGACAATACCGAGAGTTGCCCGGCTGTAGCAGTCAAGTGTATCTGAACATTAAGAGAGTAAAGCTAAACAGCCTAATTATGGATCAGAAGAATTACGGCCTGACTTGTGTCACAACTTTTGGACAACGTTTTCAACAAATTGAAGTCAAAAGAAATGGAAAACCCTCTGTTCTGCTCAGGCAGGAGTCCTGAGACCTCAGTTGCTTGACAGGGGTGGAGGTCGGGGGTGAAGAGGGGGTCTGTTAATTGCATAATGGTTTCTGTTTAAATGTGTCTTTTTCTTCTCCCATTTCACCTCTGAACAGCAGTCTGCACAGTGATGACACCGTTAAGTATACGATTTTCTGTACTAGGGTTATATTACCCCCATTTCATTCGAACTCAAAAAATCCTGTTGAAATGCAAGTCTATCGTCAAATTTTTAAAACACTAAATAATTTTCAAAGTGTAGTGCTTTAATCTTCTCAGAAACAAATTACTTGTTATAGACTCACAATAATAGGGGTGGCCCAGTGCATCACAACAGTGAGGCCAAGTGAAGGTACTGAAGAAGCCAGTGCTGGGTTCCTATACTCCAGATCAATAAGTGAGATAGTTTAAAGCTTCCCCCCAAAAACAGCAACAAATAACAAATGAAGGTGAGCAAGAGTTGATTACATCATTAAGACAATCCAAAGAAAATATAAGTGAAAATTATCACAAAATGTATCGGCACCATGTAGGAACCCCTCATCCTCTCATTCCTTTACTTGTTTTTTTTCCATGTGGACATTTCAGGTCCATCCTCTGACTCCAATTTTCTCCTTCTACAGCTGGTTCCCACAAACAGTTTCTAACTCAAGATTTTCTCAACCACGTGAAAAACTGGGTGAAGGTTATTTAATTATTCTGTTGCTGTGATCTCTTTTCAAACAATCCTTAAAATTCTTTTAATTTAAGAAGAATAACTTGTACATTACGCTGGCCTAACTCTTCTTCCTGCCACCTTCTTCTCCTCCCTGCCCACCTCTTTCCCAATCTATAGAAATGAACAGGCTGCTGTTAATGTTAAGTACTGTACCTTAGAAACCAAGGTGGGTGGCGGTGCTTGAGCTCAGGAGTTTTCAAGACCACGCGTGGAACAAATGGTGAAACCCCGTTCTACTAAAAAATAACAAGAATCAGCTGGGTGTGGTGGCTCGTGCCTATAATCCCACCGCTACTCGGGCAGGCGAGGCAGCGAGGCAATCGCTTTGACACCCTGGAAGCGGAGGTTGCAGTAACCAAGATCACACCTGGGCAACCATAGGCGGACTGTGTCAAAAAAAAAAAAAAAAGAAAACAGATACGGGCTGCTGCAGCAGCCAGATGGTAACAGTAATAAATTCTGATCTGTAGCCTTTTAATGGGTCCCCCAACAGAATCTGCAACCTTCATTTGTTTCTGTGGTCAGTTTCTCTCTCCCAATTTTCTGGTTCTTTTTAAAATTCCCCCATGCTCCTCAACCTGCACTCTTCTCCGCTCTTTTCCCCCATCAGACTACAACAATTCAATATTCTTGAATGCAGACGCATTGTGGCTCTTCAGGAGAACGAGGCAAAAAGACTAATATACGTGTTGGTGCGACTGAATAAAGAAGTTCTAGTTTCACAATGTTTAGAAATTTCTAGATTGCTATAACGTTTAAAGTCTGTTATGAGAAAGATGTTTATTTAACTGGTGAAATTTAAATTAAAATGAAAAGTAACTGAATTCTCAGATTACACTTAGTGAATCTGCCTACTTCAATCCAAAGCTCGACTAAGATGTGTAAGAAAAAAACTGAAACACTGATACTCAGTTGTATACATAAGTTATATTCTACACATACAGATGAATCCAATTCCAGATGGTGGCAGTAACTGCATTCTCCAGTGAGGGTAAAGCTTCAATGCACTAAGTAGTAAAAGGGGAAAAGTTAGTCAGCTTTGCTAGTCTTTCAAGTTAAATGCTGGTAATGTCTAAGATTTAACCTTGTAACGTCAAGACACAGGATTCAAAAAGCAAAGAGGCATCTGAAAGTTGCAACAACATTAGAAGAAATGCGCCCTCTTCTAAGGATAAAGCACCACTGAAACAGAACAAGTGTGACATTTCATTTTATTTTTCTTCCAGACTCAGCATACTTTACACAAAAAGGCTCTCTCAGGAACAGGGCATTTAGTTTGTGTAAAAATCTTTAGCCTTTGCAACGAATTAATTGTATTCAATTTTAAAAAGTATACTTCAGGTACAACATAGGTATTTATATTGAAATCATAGAAGAAAACACAATCGGGGCAGCCAAGCACTATTTATTTAGTATTTACTCTAAGCTACATTCTGGAATTAATCCTTTGCATATATTATCTCTGATCTACACAATTTTCATGAAAGACAGATTTGTTTTATCTCTATATTTTACAGATGAAGAAATGGAGGTTTAGAGAGAGGTTATTTAAATATCCAAGGACAAACCAGCTAGAACTCAAGATGTCTTCCACAGTACCTTCTTAGACTCATTATTTAAGCTGAAATTCATATTTACTATGCTAAGTATTTTTAAAATCTCAAACATTATGCAATGCATCTAAAAGAAAAAAATGCCTAGGAATAAATTTAACCAAGGAGGTGAAAGCTTGTACAACTAAAATTGAAAAATCACTGACAAAAAAATTAAAAGATAACCTCAGTAATAGAAAGACATCTGTGTTCATGAATAGGAAGACTCAATATCGTTAAGATGCCAATATTACCTAAAGCGATCTTCTAATTCAAGGGAATCTCTATCAGAATTCCCAAAGCCTCAAATTCATATGGAGTTACAAGGGGTCCTGACTAGCCAAAATAATATTGAAAAAGAGTGAAGTTGGAAGACTTCCATTTCTTGATTTCAAAACTATTATAAAGTTACAGTAATCAGGCTGGGTGCAGTAGCTCACGCCTATAATCCCAGCACTTTGGGAGGCCAAGGTGCGCAGATGACTTGAGGTCAGGAGTTTGAGACCAGCTTGGCCAACACGGTGAAACCCTATCTCTACAAAAAACACAAAAATTAGCCAGGTGTGGTGGTAGGCTCCTGTGGTCCCAGCCACTCGGGAGGCTGAGGCAGGAGAATCACCTGAACCCAGGAGGCGGAGGCTGCAGTGAGCCGAGATTGCACCACTGTACTCCAGCCTGGGTGACAGAGTAACACTCTGTCTCAAAAAAAAAAAAAAAAAAAAAAAAGTTACCGTAATCAAAACAGTGTGGTACTGACATAAAACAGACATATAGACCAACTGAATAGACTTGAGAGTCCAGAAATAAACCCAAACATTTATGACCAATTGATATTTGACAAGAGTGCCAAATCCACTGCATGGTAGAAAGAATAGTCTCCTCAACAGATGGTGCTGAGACAACTAAGTTTCTATATGCAAAAGAATGAATCGGAACCCTACTTTACACCGTATTAAAATATTAACTCAAAATGGACCAGTGACCTAAAACCATAAAACTCTTAGAAGAAAACATAGATCTTGGATTTGGCAAAGGATTCTCAGATGTAACACCAAAAGCATGAGTAACAAAAAGTAGATAAACTGGATTTCACTCAAATTACTTTTTCCGTATCAAAGGACATTATCAAGAAAAAGACATCAGACAGAATGTAAAATATTTGCAAATCGGGGAGTTTAACTCCAGAATACATTTAAAAATTCCTACAACAACAAAAAGACAAGTGATTCAATTAAAATATGGACAAAGGATCTAGATAAACCCCTCTTCAAAGAAGATAGACAAAATGGCAAATAAATACATGAAAAGATGCTCAACATCATTAACCATCAGAAAAAGGCAAATCAAAACCGCAATGAGATACCAATTCATACCCACTATGATGGCTACCGGTTCTGTAAAAAGGGAACAGAGTGGCCAATGACTGTGACTACTGCAATACATACTTCACCCACAACTCTCCATTTATGAGAAAGACATACTGCCGTGGCAGGAAACAGAGAGAATGTGAAAGATTACTATTAGAAATGGATGGAAGAACAGGCTCAGAGCCTGACTGACAAAACAAGGGTTGCATTTCAACAAGGAAAGATATTTCCTACTTAAATCTCTGTTCCTCCGCCGGCAGGAACAATGATACCACCTCCCTCCAGTCTTCTGGGTCCTCCTCACCCTGGTATGATGCCAGCAGCCCATATGGGGCCCCCTCCTAGGATGATGTCAGTGGGACCTGCTCCTGGAATGAGGCTGCCCATGGGAAGCCACATGCCAATGATGCCTGGGCCCCCAATGATGAGACCTCTTGCTTGTCCCATGATGGTGCCCACTTGGCCCAGAATGACGCGAGCAGACAGAAAGGATAGAGGGGAGGCCTCCCTATATCAGTTTTATATTACTTGTTCTACTTCACCAGGAGATTACAATGCTGTGACTCTGGGTGTTTTCTTCACAGGCTGATACAGAAAAGGTGCTCCCCCTTCCTATTAAAGAGACAATAGTTTTGGAGTAGAGAAGTGGGACAAAAAAAAAGTGCAGTTTTTATTTATATTGTGAAATATGAAAATAAAATTGTCAATGTTTTTTAAAAAGAGAAAATATATGTTAGAAAGAAAACTGGAGACACTGAAACACTTGCGCACTGTTGGTGAGAATGTAAAATGGTGTAACCACTGTAGAAAACAAGTTTGGTGGTTTCTCAAAAGCTAAATATGGAATTACAAGGCTAGGCACAGTGGTTCACACTGTGGGGGACTAAGGTGGGAGGATCATGTGAGCCCAGGAGTTAGAGACCAGCCTCAGCAACATAGTGAGACT